CAATTCCTGTGTTTTTTGGTTTTTTTTTCCAAATGCAATATATATTGTGTGCCAAAACTTGATAAAACAAATTTTAGAACAAAAATTGCCAATATGGTGTTTAATCAATTTTTCAATCCATACAGAAGAAGCGAGAATAAAGTTAATTGACAAAATTAAGTAGAAATCTTGCTCCTTTATATTGGGTCCAGTTGCAGTTGAAATAGAACTGTGATTATTGTTTCATAAACACCTACATCACATTTTTTCTTTTTAATCGGTATCATCCCATGCAAGACAGTAAAGACACTAAAACACAAGTGGTTACAGGGTGTTGAAGAATTAGCACTAGAAACAATAGTGATGAGAAGAAAGAAATAAGAAGGAAAGTAGATAGCAACTGACTTTGCATTTAAATTTTTGCAAGTTAAAGTTGTCTGGAAAGAATGGAGTGGGAGGGAGTTCCACAAGTGAGAAGTGTGAGAGAAGAAACTGTTAGGATAGAATTTATGAGTAAATCTAGCCAACAGTAAATTGATGAGCTCTCAATGCCAGTCTAGTACTGTGCTTAAATTAAAAAAAAACAAACTCAAGCTCAAAGGTATCATAGTGAAGAGGTAATCTGAACAATTACCATGAAAGTATTTATAGAAAAGATATAGAGAGGCAACATTACAGCAGTAGGAAAGTGACTGAAGTTTAGCTGCCAGATCAGAACCAATAATATTGCTGATTCTTCTTTAGGTCTTATCAAGGAGCTCAAAGTAAATAGCAGAGGCACAAAACCATGTGTGGCTGTAATATTGTAAACATGGATGAATGGTAGACTTATAGATACGTAAGATAGATTCTGGAGAGAAAAATTGTCTTGCCTGACAGTGAACTGACTTTCCTAGCAGCTGATCTAGCAATAGATTCAATATAGTCTTTAGACTCCATGTCAGCTGAGAACGTGAGCCCGAGAAGTCGCAACATCACTTTTCTCAAGGTTAGCATCAGCCATGCTGATGGAGGGCAGTAAGGGGTCTCTCAGATGATTAATGTGGGGAAGTTTAGTTTTGGAGGCATTAAAATTAGCAAGCCAAATTTTGGACTTGAGATTTAGTCAAAATTTATATAGGCAATGAAAGTTAATGAAAGCTTTGACGCTTGTTTTTAATGAATTTTACCAGTGATATAATAATGGATTACATACTCACTAGTTAAATACATAAGTTTCCTATATCTTTCTCCATCAACATCAGTCATTTTGAGAGTATTTTAACTTGCATATCAGAGAGAGATAAAACAAGCGAGTTTTCACTTCAATCTATTTCATGTCCGCAGAAAAAGCATCATTCCAAGATTGATCATAATTTAGAAATTTATTTTTCATAAATACATATCAAAACACTTTAACAGTTGAGTAACACCATAGTAAGAAAAAGTATTCTTACATCAGTTCTAACTTCTAAGTAATATAAATAATATTTTCCATATGCTACAGCACAGATTTTACATGTTTTGTTGTGTTAGGTGGTTATAACATATTTCTACCTTGTTTTAGAAGAAAAAAGAAAAGAAAAGAAAAGGACAACAGACTGGAACAACTTGGATGGTAAAAGCACAGAGAGAGAAAGAAAGAAAAGTAAGGAAAAATGAATATATATTCAATTTGAAACAACAAATCAAATTATGCTAGCAATAGACAGGATATAAAATTTTGGGGGAGGGGTAAATAAAAAAAAATTGTATAATAAAGCAAAAAACATAAGCAATGCCGAGCAGTATAACTGAGTAGGAGAAACTAAGTTTCCAAGAAAAATATAAAATCTCAAAGGATAAGCAGAAAAATTGGTTGCAGCCGCCACTATCTATTCTAATTCCATAGATTTATAAACATCCTACGCATGGTAGACAAAACAAAATAAATTAGGTTTTCTCTTAATTAAATAAAGTTTACAAATATTAATATTAGATGTAATTTTTCTTGTAAAAAAAAAGAAAAAAAAAAAAAAAAAAAAAAAAAAAAAAAAAAAAAAAAAAAAAAAAAAAAAAAAAAAAAAAAAAAAAAAGAAAAAAAAAAGAAAAAAAAAAGAAAAACAAAAAACAAAACAAAAACAAAACAAAACAAACCTGCTGCTGGAAAATATTTATTTTCTTGTTGGGAGAAATTACTATAAGATTTTCTCAGTATTGATTTAACTTTAGTGAATATCTTAAACTTAAACTAATGAAGAAGATATGTTATCATCAACAGACAGTACTTGGAAATTTATTAAAAAAAAAACAAAAACTTAGTGACATTTATAAAAGAAAGAAAAATGATGGGAGAGAAAAACGAGAATGTTTTTTTTTTAAATTATAATTCAAGGAATAGAGATTTTTCTTTATGAAAGTGGTAAACTTTTCGATAAGTCATTTATTTTGTATTTAGAAAGACTTCAAAGTTCAAAGAGTTTGAGATTTTTTTAATGTTACAGATCGAATATTAAGAAAAAAAAAGGTATACAATCAGATATTTTCACTTTTCAGTGTTTTCATGCTAACTAGTAAAACAATTTTACTACAAATGTCATAAATACACAACCAAACACAGAACGATTATTAATTTTAGTAAACTAAGATTAAAAAATTCGAAATTATCTTGACACTCCAGAAAAAGAGGAAATTAAACAAGTTGACGGAGAGAAGCCTCATTCAAAAAAATATTTACAGTACACAGTTCGTTTAGGTAGAAATTTCAAAATTGATCTTTCTTTATAAATTTGAAAAAGTAAAAAAGTAGATCATTAGGGACACGATGAAAAAAATTGCCTTTTTATGAAAAACTTGATAATTTTTATAACAATTTGAATTAACAAAGAAAATATTTTCATTTTATTAGCATCCAAAGACATTAAATCTCAAAACTAATAAAATACAAATTAAATATAAGATTCAACCTTAAATATTTCATTTTCTGAAAATAACTTTAAACAAAATTTATGCACACATTGCTATTGCAAGAAAAGAAAAGCAATATTCAATTTAACAATGTTTACCTGTATACTGTTATACAGTTATATATACTCTTCTTGAATTAAATCCTATTATGAATGTTGTATATACACAGGTATCAAGAGCAGTCTGATAATAAATAATTACAAATTCAGAATTCGTTTTGAATCAGCTGTGCACACATCACTGCGTAGGAGAGAGAGAGAGAGAGAATTTGGATCGCAAATAAGCAGTACCCACCCCCACCAACACACAGAGCAAATTCTGCTGCTACGATTTTCAATACTATCAATTCCCAAAATAAAAAGAAATACAAAAAGACATCAAGATATTTTTTTAGATGTTTAATTAATAAATTAAAAACAAATATTCAGTTAGAGAGAGAATGAAAATAAAAACATTTGTAAACCTGGCCATAAGGTGGTTGTTATTTTTATTTTGTTTATTCGGAGAAAAAAATGTCTCTTGACTTTTTGTACAAAAAGAGCGAGTATGTAATCAAAATCAAATTATTTAAATATCGAATCGTACATATTTTTATTGAATCTGGACGAGTAAAAGGCGAGATAGTAGTAGAAACAAAAGGTGTGCACAGTGCACTCGTGATGGGACAGATTCCAAAATGCAACTACAGTTGGGGAGGGGAATACGCGCTGCAACTCAAAAAGATATCGGATTCCTTTTTTTTTTTTTAACTAAACAACTTCACCTAAAAGGTCTATTGAAAAATATTCGTATACGATTACAAATCTTCCATTCTGATGAGAGCCGGTCTAGCTAGCCAGAATTATCAATCAGGACAAAAAAAAAATCCTTTTAGTTTCTGTTTATAGATTTCATTTAAATGTCCCATGATTCGGCTGTTAAAAAAAAGTAACAAAATCTGAGGGGGGGGCGACATATTAAATTTGTTTACCTATGATTATTTTGTCATTATTTGAAATGACGTCTTGTAATTGTAAACAAGTTGATTAAATCATGAATGTTTCAATTAACTTAGAACAACACTTAAGTTTACATTTCTTACTTGCTGTCATGGTTCAACAAAAAAAAAAAAAAAAAGTTAAAACTGAACGCAAAATGTTAAAATTGTACAAAAATTGTCTCTTTAGTTTTTAGTTTATTGTATAGAAATTTTGTATAAAGACGAAAACTATAACGTTAAAAAAAGGATCCCACCTTTTATTTTTGATTTGAGTAATCAAAATTTTTAATCATTGAATAATCATGCTTTAGCTTTATTAAATTTTATTTTCTACGACCTCAAAAATAAAACTGATCGAGCAAACAATGTTTACTTTTAAAGTAATAAACTAAATATTATTGTAGGTATTATGCAAAAATCGTTATTACTTTGTTTATTTTATTTACAAGTACCGTTTTCTTTTTAGTTTTATTGATTTTTGCAAAAATATTTATTTTTTGCCCTCATGTCTGGTGACGAGGTTCATTAGCCCAGCACATCTAACTAAAAAAGAAATCAATAGAGAACTTACATAAATTTATTTATTTATTTATTTATTTTTTTGTAGAATGGAAAAAAAAAATGACATGGGTTTTTAAAAAGTAGTTTTTATTTGAGTGATTTGAAAATAATTAGCAGGCGATCTTTTATTTTTCTCAGGAAATAATTTTTCTTTTTCTTTAGCAAAAACCAAATGTTTGTTTTATTTTTGCTTAAATTTTAAATTAAAGTGTAAATTATGTTGTTTGTCACTTATTGTGTGATTATTCTGTTTCGGAATAGACAGACAGCATTTAACAAACAATAAAGTTACCAAATAAAAAAAATAAAAAAAATATTACTTCACCTTGGATTAATTTATTTATTTTAATCTTCTGAAATAAATGTATTGTAAAATTTAAAAAAAAAAAAAAAACGATTCCTAAATGACTGCGTCACTATTAGTTTGTTTTCATTTTTAAAATAAAACAAAACAAAAACAAAAACTTTAAAAAAATACTTTGATTATTCAAAGCGAATAGCAATAATTCTTTTCTTTAGTAATTAAAGAAATAAGTCGAAAGTAACATTTTCTTACCTTAGCTTTAGTCGGCATAGAGACTTGTCAACAACCAAAATACACATAATTTCTTATAATTTAATAGAAGAAAAGCAGCATCCCTTTTTAGAGATGCTAAACTGAAGGACGAGAAGCTCATGTACGAAAGGGAGAGTTCCTAAGAAAGGGCAGATTACTCAACCTACTTTAATTAGTTTGTTTTTTAAATGAATGCTCACATTCAAAATCTTAATTTTTACCTACATTGTTTCATGACAAAAATTGTCCGAATGTAAGTTACACAGAAAACAGTTCTGTCATGGATTATATCTTTAAACTGTTGTGAGCCTATTACTTGTATTTTTAGAGAAGGCCTTTCTGTTTGCCTCTCAGACATGTTTCCCTTCTGTGTGCACAGATTGTTGAGTAGAATGTTTATTAATTGAAAGTTGAAACCCTAGGGAACATTTGTAGACATTTAGTAGAGGTGCGTTACTACATAGATAAAGAAAAAAACATATTTGCAATGTAAAATGAATTAGATTTTCTATAGTTTTTGGAATATTTTTCACAAAACCGAAAAATAAAATGAAAATCTTCATTTTTTTAGTTTAATTTAAAGAAAAAAGACTTAAAACGTAGAACACTGTCGAATGCTTCTTTTGATGTCTACTACTCTTTTCTTTTTCAATGAACTGTTAAAAAAACAACAACAAAGTGAGATGGCCAGGATATCGAACATTGATTTTCTAGTCTGATCCCTGTGTATTGTTATAAAAACAAAAAGAAATCATTTTCCTTCAGTCAATGAAAGGCAAAGCTGAATTAAGAATTAGTTATTCATTATAGCGGCTAGCTGAAAAAGGTTTTGGTTTTGAAAAAAAATAAAAAAAACTTACTTTTTTTTAAGGAATCCCAAATTAATCTATTCGTTCTGTGTTATTCAGTAAAAAAATGGAAAACTCTTTCTTTACATATAAAAAAAGAATTAAAAAAAAAAAATCACCTAGATGCTGAAAAACTAAGTGAAAAGTTTTAAAAATGAAGGTTTCTAATATTACATAAAAAAAAAATACTTTTTTTTTAGTTAGGTACGCGACACCGTACAAAAGCGAATAAAAACCCAAACAATAAAAAAAACAAAAAAAAAACTTCAATAAGAAATAACCTTTAATACTTTCTTTAAGTTCCTACATAAAGTTACTAAATATACTTTTTTTTTTTTTAGAAATCTAACGTTTTTTACGTTTTGTTCTCTGTGTAAATGAAATTTACTTTATGAAAAAGAAAGACCAATGTTAGAAATCAAATGTTTAGTTTTCAGAACTTTTCTTGTAATAATTTTAAGTTAAATTGACCTTTTTTTTTTTTTTTTTTTAAATGGTCAATTTATTTAGCTTACAATCTGATTTTATTGATTAAGAAAAAAAGCCTTTTCACTTCAGCCACATCCTAGTCTCCCTTAATTACAGCAATACGAAGTTGACCAACATTTTTTTTTTTTTAAATATTAAAAAAAAAAAAAGAAAGCCTTTTTTTCCCTTCCCAAATTCGACTTTTCCAGTATTTATAACTCAATTTCAATTACATATCATAATTAGGAAAAGGAAAAAAAATAATGAAGCGTACACTGCACTTGTCATCTAGAATCCAAATGCAATGAGAGATTTAAAAAAATTAAATAGCTCTATGATTATTACAGGACTCGAAACGTTATTATAAGTTCATACAAAAAACAAAAAAACCAGGGTTGCCCATCTGACCCAAACTAAAAAAAAAAAAAAAATATTAATCACGGTATGGGTATCATTGATTTTTGAATCTTGACACTGTCAAGAATAACCAACTTCTTACAAGAAAGGATTTTTGCAAGTGTTTTCTTTTTTAAGCTTACTTTTTTATTAAAAGTATTTCGCGTTACAAAAAAATATAATCAAATCTTTAACAGTCTCATTACCTCGACCGCTTCCATTTATTTTTGAAAACTTTATTACGTGAACGCAAAGCAAGTCGATAAATCTGATGAGAAAAATATTGCTTATAAAACATTTTTCAACCTTGTAATGTAGCGGCTGCTTTTAAAATTGTCAACATACCGACCGGCGGCCCACCCACGCACGCACAAGATGGACCACAATAGAAATACCTTCGTGAATAAGAGCTAAAAAAATTTTATTTTAATTTTTTTCCTGGGGTTAGTTTTTAAATTTAAGGCAGTTCAATTTTAAACGTTCTATGCGGTTAACATTAATGTTTCATTTAATGCACTTTTTGAAATAAAAATTACCTACTTAATCCGAATAATTGCGAATGTTCACTTTTCCCTTTTTTCAATCATTTTCATTAAAGCCCTGAATTGAGTGAGATCTATAACCCAACAAAACTGCTATTTTATTTCAATGAATTTAATAATCTTATGAGTAGATTTTTTTAGTCTATCAGACACAAATAATTTTTCTGTATTCGGATTATAAAACAAAATTTCATCCATTGTTCAAAATTATACTCACACGTATGTGTACGCTTTAGAATCACGCCTCCGTAAATGAAGCTAGCAGCGGAAAAAAAAGTTCTCAAGTGGAGTGTACTGATTCAACTAAGAAACAAAAAAAGCAATCTTATTCACACACACACATTAAAACAAACAACAACAAAACTCCTTAGTCTTTCAAACACGTTTTTTACTACATCTGGGAAGGGAAATCACAACTTTTGTTATGATATTGTAACTTAATTTACTTTTTTTTTTAAAAAATGTAGGTAGCCAATCACAAATATCAAATTTATTATTTTTGCAATAAAACGTGTAGTTTCAAAATAAATACATTATTAACCATTTTTTGTAACTTATTTTTTAGTTTTAACACTAAGTCACATACGAAAACTAAAAAGATCTTAGAAACTCTTGTCTAAAATGTACTTTTCCTAATTATTCATAATTAGCAGTGTTTAACCAAATTCACCGAGTTGTAACACTTTGGAACCAACCAAAGGAAACTAAAAAAAAAAACCTTTAAATTTTTTAAAAGCTAAGTAAGTTAAATAAAAAAAAAGGAAATAATAGACTTTTAGTTTTACCGAAGCTGTTTTTAGATTATTATTAGCTAGCTAAATGTAAGAATGAAAAGAACTTGATTTTGTTTTAATGAATTAATTAATAAATGTAAAAAAAAAATTACAATTCATCGTGATCTTAATGTACATTGTACACTAAAAGTTTGCATCATAAAAGAAAAGCATTCAGCAGTTATTCTTAGAGTGAAAGTATTGGTAAAACTAAAACAAAACACGTAAATAAACATTTCACACTAAAAAAAGCTACGAAATTGCCAGTCATAATTCCATAATTCTTTTTTTAGTCGTAAGTCAGACCAAATAATTCTAAAAATGCTTTGCAAATAAATATCGGTAAGATTTGCTTATGATGTGTTTGGTTATTATTGTATTTGAAAAGAAGACTACACCACAGGAAAAATAAACAATTAATTTATTTAAGACTAGATTTACTTTATTTGAATTTAACTTTCTCTACCTGAACTTCAAGGGTCATCGTTAGAGTTTAAAAAATTTAACTTAAAATTATTACAAGAAAAGTTCTGAAAACATTTGATTTCTAACATTTGTCTTTATCATAAAGTAAATTTCATTTTTTTACATAGAGAACAAAAAGTAAAAATGTTGGCATATTGTTCAATGTTTAGTGAAAAAGAAATTTATCCGATTTGTAAAACAAATTTTTATTTATAAATTAAAAAAAAAAAACTTTTTTTTTTAAAATAATAGTTTTGGTAAAAAATGGACAGGTAGATAGCAACAAAACATTATTTAAAAAAAAAATAAACAACAAAAAAGAAACAAAAAAAACTCACGTGTTTTAGTTTTGGTAATCTTCAAACAACCAAAAAACAATATTTAACGTAGACCTTTTTCTTAGGTATCTTTCAATTTTATGACTTGCTGTAGATTACAAACAAAAGAAAAGACAGACATCTCGAAGTATATTTCTTATTTTGTAGTGGAAAAGTTGTTTTAACAGTCTGCGGGGTTGTGTAGTAAAAACATCACATCGATGCCCAACCTCTTCCTGTACAAGTTGTGAGCCTCAGATCTCAACTCTTATTTCTTTTTAACAAAACCTTATGTATGTATTTATCTGGAGACTTCACCTGTTTTCTTGAAAATCCCCACCTTCTTCTATTTCTTGCTTCACACAGAAAATTAGTATCGCTTGACTCTCTATCCTTTTTGTTGTTTCTCTCCTGCTTCTTACAGTCATTCTCTTTCTCTCTTTTCTATTTTTCTTGTATTTTTTAATCCACTCCCACTTTCTTTTTGTTTCTTCTTTCTTTGCAAAATTCTTTGTTTTATTCTTTAAATTTCTGACTCGTGTAATTCCGTAGTTTTTTATAACCCGTTTTTTTTTTCATCTAATTTTCTCCTAGTCATTTCATTTCTTTTCTTTTACATTTTTTAAACTATTTCTTCTGTCTCTCAAATTCATTCTCCTTTGAATCTCTCTGTTTTGCCTTATTTATACTTCCCTCTCTATTTATTTTTTTTCTCTATCAGTCTCTTTCCCGCTTGTTCACTTTATCCTTTTTTTCTCATTATAGCCAGAAAAATAAAATAGACGGGGAAAAAGAAGTCATTGTTTTGTCTTTTACTTTATAACTGCCCAATGTTACTTTATTTTTGCTTTAATTTTTAAATGATATTCACATTACTAATGAAGCTTCCCAATTCAATATTTTTTACACTTAAATGTTGATTATTAAAAACAAAGTTAAAAGTTCCTTTCTTTTGTTGATTTCAAGCACAAATTGATTTAACCAATTTTGAAAAATTATATGATAGGGTTTTGCATGGTTTTAATAAAATATTAAGTGGCAGAAAAAAGCAATTAATTTTTCAGGAAATATCAGATTTAATAACCCACAAGAAATATAGTGTCTGCTGAAAAGAAGAAGCTTCTTATTACACTGGCTAAAGAAAGAAATGGCGTCTCTCACGTATTCTGGATGTTTATCAAATTCTACATTCTTGCCAAACAATCAAGT